TTATTATATGTATAAAGATTCCCCCACTTCCTAGTTTTCCTTTATTTTTACACAAAGAATATTGAAGGACGATAGAAATTTCTTTAAGGAACTCAGATTTTCTCCTTGGTTAACATTTTCTCCATAGTCTTAACTGGGTACCCACGTTACTGCTTTTTCCTCAAATTTGGATAATCTGGCTGAGAACATGCCAGGAGAAGCATAATGAGTACCCGTGGCAGGGACTTAACTGGGTACAGCTTCACCTTTGCTCAGAGTCAGGTAAAATTAATCCCAATGCCATTCTCAGTCACTTGCAGATGGAGCAGACCTGACTTGTAGAGATGAAGGCAGAAGCTGGGCCCAGCAGTGGTTTGCCCAGGGGCTGTGAAGGCTGAACCTTCATGTGTTGGTGAAGGGGGCTGAGGAAAAGAGTTGGGGGAAAGCAAGTCTGAAGTTACAGAACCTGAGGTTACACTTCAAAGACTGTACAGGGAGGGAAAAACAGTATTTAGCTTCTTAAAGAAAGACAGGGGAAAACTAATCTGCTTATGTGTGTACTTCCATGTCCTAAATTCTGAGAGAACTCCTAAGTACTGTTATGCTTAACATTTCTCTCAGGATGTTTAGAAGACCTGAAAGGGGAAAAAAAACAACCAAACAAACAAAAAAACCAACTCACTATGAAGGCCTGGAGGCCTGCTACTAGCAGAAAGCATAACAAGATGAATAGGCTCATAAACAAGAGTCAAAGCTGCTATTATTTTCATAGATGATCTTATCATTTGCACAAGTATCTGATGAACATGGTAGAATAAAATAAATGTCCTTTCTTTTAAGCAAAAAAGCTCACCTAATCGTTGAATTTCCTATTTTCCTTTAAGGGTGGCATTTATATTAGTGTAGCATGGAGGCTTATGCTCAGACTATACAGCTGTTACAAACTTCTGAGAAGGTGGGGATGTATATGATTGTATACATATTTGTATATATATTATATATTCTGGAGAGAAGATGTAGAGAAATATTGGGGTAATAGACGTGGCAGCTCTTCAGTGAGCAAACTGGTTGCTGCTCACCACCTACAGCAGAACATTTTCCCCTAGGTCAGGAATGATTAAGAAGAAATGAATTCAAGCTTAAAATGAGGAAAAGAGTGTTGAGTGCCCCAAAGGACACAGAAGTCCAAAGCAACCATCCTCGTAGAACACAGAAATGACCAGATACTCTGCCTGAGAGTGATGGAGGCATCTGTACAGAATCAGGACCAATTATCCTCAGAGACAAACTAGTCCAGAACCCAGAGCCCAAAAATTACCTTCCTCCAGTGTAAGAAATGCCTTATTTATTAACTGTTAACCAATTATTTACCCATTCAAGGACTTTCCTATCGCTGATTAGTGTTAAAATATTTTGACAAGAAACTATGTTAAAAGACTTTTAGATATCTAAACAAATTGGAAATTAAGGAGGCTACTGATAACCACATGGCTGCTGACACCCTGAAAAGACTTCAGTAGCTTTCTTAATAGACTTCCATTCCTAAAAGTCAAGCTGTTTATTCTGAAGCATGTTTGATTCATCCAGGTACACATTAATTTATTTTTTACTGTAGATTCTAAAAAAAAAAAAACCCTGTTCAATAAAGCTAATGGGTTTACAGGCTGTGAAACATCAGAATAATATGAAAGTCTGCAGGTTCCCAGCTGACTCTTCTTCTATAACTGGAATAGTGCAATTTCAAACAGAGTACTGATTAACTGTATATTGACACTCCCCTCACCCCCGTTGTATCAGATTATGTCTTGGATGTATATGTGTGTGTATATTTAAAAGATACAAAAAATGTAATCACCTAACTATTCTATTGTAAGAAAATCCTAACATCTCTCACTTGGTATTAACCAAAATGTACAAATACTATATTTTCCAGACTGTTCAACTTCAGATCCTGACTGTTCCCTTCTGTTAGTGAAATACAACCTTGCTTCAGTTGGTCCAGCTTTAAATGACACGGATCCTGATTTTTCCATACAGCTGCATATGTGACCCATTTGCTCTGCCATCATGTTAGTCATGCTGGGAAGGGAAACCAAGAACACGTGTCTAGACCACCAGCACCTTAGTCCTACTGTGACAATTAAAGATGACTTACAGCAACAGGTTTCTCACAGCTATTTCTTTAAGGAGGAACATGATTTTGAACTGCCCCAGATCAGTATATTCTAGGTGGTATTTGCTCCTTGGTCCTTGTTGGAAATTCTCACTATTCCTTGAGTCCATGAGTCCTGTGAGGCATACCTGTGTATAATTCTTTAATTGAGCTACAGGTCTGAGCCTAGCTTATTAGCTTGCTGTTAGGGCCTACTAGAAAGAGAAAATCTTACATTTCCTTGTCCCTGTCTGGCTCTTTTTCACTGTCGTCATCTGTTTCTAGACACGTGGTACACCACTCAGCTGCATTGGTGAGATATCCCATCCCCAGGCCCAGCAAGTTTTATGCTGCTTCAGTACCACTTAAAGTGGTCAGACTCCATTTGACATGGAAAAAGAGTCCACAGCAGCTTGTCCAACATGCACAAAACCATTTTCTGAGGACAGGTTTATCCCCGAGAATAGCAGCAAGTTTCATGTCTGATGCTTAGACTGCTGTAAAACAAAGACAATCCACTTCTCTGCTAGTAATCAGCTGTCTCACTGTTATCAGCAGGATCACTTACCTGTCACAATCATTGCTAATGTCTGTTAATATACAGAAGTAACCCTCTGAAGTCTTGGAATCCTCTGCAGATATCTGAAAGAACAAGAAACTATATATGAAAATCTCAAAACTTTTGAAACCACTTTTGGTCCTCCCTTGTAGAAAATGCAACTCAGAAGAATTTGTGTGGGACATGCTAATGGCAACCCAGAACCGAGTAATTGAAAATTTCATTGGATCTTATTAATGAAAAGTTCTCTATAAACATTTGCCATTGATTATTACAGGAAATACAGTACAGAAATGTTCAGTCCTAAAATCTACCATACCAATCAAAGGTGAATCGTCAACCATCGTATTCAAGAAGTACTTATTATCAGTGCATACCTATTACAATTTAAATAACTGCATTAAATCAGGTTTACTAATTACATGTGTCATTAAAAACAATGAACTTATAGATATATTTCAAATTTTAGTAAAACTCCTTGTTTTATTTTAGCTCCTGCAACAAACAAACAAAAAAAATCAATATCCAATTAGAAATATGAAATTAGCAAACCATTTCAATGCCTCCTGCTTTTAACTGTACCACCCAGCTGTATGATACATTGGCCTCAGAAATGAGACTGGCTTTAAAATTCTCCTTCTCTCACCCTTGCTGTAGACACTCATCCCGGTGCCTGTGGTGTGCTGCATTGCTGCCTAAATCATGCTGGTTGAACGGTCTGTGTGGTTATGCTGAAAACAGAAAAGCTGATAGGATCCTGCTGAGGGGTAAAATAAACTTGGGCAACAACAAAAAAAAAGAGGGGATGTGCGTAGAGGGAAAG